TCTTCGAAACTTTCACATCCTCTAAACCCTTTTAGAGGAAGCTGCTGGATGTACTCCACCAAAACAAAGGACTAACCAGGGAGAGTAAGCCGGGGCCCAGGAAACAAGGGGCCCTGTAGACAGGAGGCAGATGGATTGTGGGGGAGTGTAGAAGGGAGAGGGAGTAGGGAAGCCTGCTCAGTGGCCCTGCCAGCTGGGCTGGTTGCTGGCAGTCCAGGGCTCCAGGAAGGCCACTGCCAAGGAGAAAACGCAGCTCCAGACAACCCAATGTGCAGGGGTCTGTGAGAGCAGAGTCCTAGATTTGTTGGAAGGTTTAGGAAAGAATAATCAGTTCATAGAAAATGGGGGAGAGGAGGAGGAGGAGGGGGGCGGGTACACAACGATTTCCTCCAGGGAACACCAAAAGCAGCACAAAGGAAACACGGCCACCCCACGGTCACGATGCCACATGGTCACTGTAAAGCTAACAGTGGAATTGGGTTTCTGCTGAGTAGACAGAATGCTGGTGAGAGGATGGGGAAGGGGCGCTACACCCTTCGTCTCTGCAATGGGGCATGGACAGAATGCAAGACAGAGGAATGAAAAGGAGGCAGTGCGGCCGGGCGCGGTGGCTCACGCCTGTAATCCCAGCATTTTGGGAGGCCAGGCTGGCGGATCACTTGAGGTCAGGAGTTCGAGACCAGCCTGGCCTACATGGTGAAACCCCGTGTCTACTAAAAGTACAAAAATTAGCCCAGCATGGTGGCGTGCACCCGTAATCCCAGCTACTTGGGAAGCTGAGGCAGGAGAATCGCTTGAATCCAGGAGGTGGAGGTTGCAGTGAGCCAAGATCACGCCATTGCACTCCAGCCTAGGCGACGGAGTGAGATTGTCTCAAAAACAAAAAACAAACAAACAAAAAAACACAAAAATCAGCTGGGTGTGGTGGTGGGTACCTGTAGTCCCAGCTACTTGGGAGGCTGAGACAGGAGAATCACTTGAACCCCGGAGGCAGAGGTTGCAGTGAGCCAAGATCACGCCATTGCACTCCAGCCTAGGCGACGGAGTGAGATTGTCTCAAAAACAAAAAACAAACAAACAAAAAAACACAAAAATCAGCTGGGTGTGGTGGTGGGTACCTGTAGTCCCAGCTACTTGGGAGGCTGAGACAGGAGAATCACTTGAACCCCGGAGGCAGAGGTTGCAGTGAGCCAAGATCGCACCACTGCACTCCAGCCTGGCGATAGAGTGAGACTCTGTCGAAAGGAAAGGAAAGGAAAAAGGAAAGGAAAGGAGAGGAGAGGAGAGGAGGCAGCATACCAGCAAAAGTGCACTTCTCACCTCAGCATGCAAGGACGTCTGCAAGGCTGAGTGTGGCTTTGGGGACTGCTGTTCTAAATATGTATGTTTTAACAAAAGTAACTTAAAATTAACAAAAATTAAGATTTAAGTAATGAGTAATACAACAGACACAGGAGAACATGTACAGAACTCTTTAACCCACAGAGAATCCATGTTCTTCCCAAACACACTCAACATGCACATGAGTTGGCCACAAACAAAACAGACCAATGCAGACAGAGCCCCAAAACAGATAGATCCCCATGCAGACAGACCTCCGTAACACCGACCTCAAAGCAGACCCACAGATATACCCCAATGCAGACAGATCCCCGTAACACAGACCCCCACGCAGACAGATCCCCATAACAGATAGACCCCCATGCAGACAGACCCCCATAACACAGACAGACCCCCACGCAGACAGACTCCCATAACACAGACAGACCCCCATAACACAGACCCCCACGCAGACAGACCCCCATAACACAGACAGACCCCCACGCAGACAGACCCCCATAACACAGACAGACCCCCACGCAGACAGACTCCCATAACACAGACAGACCCCGAATCCCACCCGCCTCGGCCTCCCAAAGTGCTGGGATTACAGGCGTGAGCCCACTGTGCCCAGCCATGCCTGGCTAATATTTTAATACGTTAGTAGGCATGGGGTTTCATCATGTGCCCAGGCTGGTGTCAAACTCTCTGAGCTCAGGCAATTCATCCACCTTGGCCTCCCAAAGTGCTGGGATTACAGGCGTGAGCCACCATGCCGGCCAATTCTTAAATTTTTTTAGAGATAGGATCTCACTTTGTTGCCTAGGCTACAGTGCAGTTGTGCCCCGC